TGATATTTTTGTACTTAATTATTAAAAGTAAAAGTATTGATTTAAAATGAGCAGTTAGATTTTCTATAAGGACATTTATTAGGAGGTGACCGCCACAAAAACGGCAGAAATGACTGTTGTATAAAAATAATTAATAACGTTAAATTTAGGATGCACTATTCTAGCTGTTTCAGTTTATATACATATATCAAGGCTGCACAAACCTTTTCCCCAAAATAAAAATCTGACGGCTGCGGCCAAATGCAATAATATAATTCATGAAATACAAATACTTCTTAAGTACAGTCCTTTTGTTTTAATGATTATGTCCTGCTGGAATGTGACATGATTTGTTTGTGTACAAACTAATACGGTATCAGAGTTTTATATACTAATGCTTCTCATTCAACCACAGTTGAATTCACTCTACGAGGCACAGTTTATATGGATAGAATTTATTTTTTTTTACAATAACAAGCTGGAATGAAAATGAGAAAAATTTTAAAAAAAGTAACGACTTTCTACTTCTTGCCTTTTTAAAAATGTAGGGAGTAGAAAGTACAGATATTTGTCGGAAAATGTAAGAAAAGTAGACTGAAAAATAATTACTCAAGTAAAGTACAGATACTGAAAAATTCTACTTGAGTACAGTAAAGAAGTATTTGTGCTTAGTTACAACTCTGGCCAAGGGCCAATTTCTGGCAATATTTATTGGGGGGAAAAAAGAAGTCTTGGTTTTAAATGTTATATAACAAATTGTTCAGAAACCCTAACTAACCCTAATCCATAATCCCACACCCTAACACTAACCCCTTCATTTAGAAGTCATTACAAGAAAAAAAACTAAAGATCAAGGAAAACACATTTTTAACATTCATTTCTTATGCCTTACAGTGTATTGACAACTTTTTCGTTTATTTCTTAGAGATACATTTGATCACAATCTAGCAAATCAGTTAAACAAAGAAAACATATCTGAAAATCAAATTATTTGACTTTACAATAATAAGAAAATACAGAAAAGATAACTAAAGCGGACTACTATCACGAGAAGACTACCCAAAATACAGAACTATTTTACTTTTAAAATATTTAACGCATTCTCACTCCCGACTCGTCAACATATTGACGCTTTTTTCAAGGTTCCCTCTGTCTTATTTTGACGCGTCGGGTGACCCCCCTCGCGCCAGTGGGGCCAGTCAAAATGTGAACAAGGGCCAGATTTGGCCCGCAGACCTTGACTTTGGCACATGTGGTCTGAATATTTATCACAGCTGTTTACCTGACTCATGCTAACCTGACTTTGATGACTCAGCGGGGGGCAGGTGTGTGTGTGTGTGGTG